GGAGGAAGAGTTTAACTACTCGGACCAGCCACAGGTGTCCTATGGGCAGAAAGCCCCAAGCAGTTACTGAGACAACGGGAGGACGGGAAAGATCAAGAAGAGAGTAGACACAGGAACTCCATCAGGTATCCTGGGACTTCAGGGCATACAAGTTTTCACTGAACTCTACACAACTTTAAATTAGGAAACTGGAGAAGAACGTGGATTTGGGGGTTTTTTTGGTACTAAAAATAATTCTTTCCTTTCATGCCCAAGTCTACCCAAAAAACCTTTGTATAAATTCTATTTTTCTAAAAAATTGACATGTCAGTTGCGAACTTCCTATTTAATAGCCATTCTTCTCTTCTCCCTTATCAAAAAACCCTAATGTTACAGGTGTGGCAACATGTCCAGTTGGAAACTCCCTTGAAACTGAGGGTGGTGGTAAGACCCAGTGCTGACCAATAAACTGTAATTAGAAGTCTACTCGGGGAGGTCTGCGGCTATTGTTTTCCTGATAAGAAGGGACACACTTAGATGGCATGCACCTTCAACTCTTCGACTCTTCCCTCTGTCTTCCTACCTAGAATGCAGATCTGAACCCTGGGGAGCAACCAGCCATCTTGCAACCATGAGAACAACCATGAGAATAAGGCACAAGCTCCAGATGGCAGAGCAGGAAGCTAGAAGGGCTGGGGGTAATGCAGGACATTCTCCAGTGACGGCACCCACCCTGTTCTTCCCTCAGATGGACTTCCTGCTGTGAGAAAAATTGCTCCTGTCCGATTCAAGTACCGAAGCCAAGTTTCGGATAAATGCAGCCAAATCAATACTAATGGATATAAGAGGACACCTGAAAATCAATCCACCCTAAAGCAGCAGGAGTTTTAAACTCAAATGGAAACAGGAGCCAGGCGTATCAAATGTGAGTAAATCTGACCAGGCGTATTACAGTAAGGAGTGGCGAATAGGAGACAGCAACCGCATGTGAGCGGGCACCTTATCAGCTCGGGCCCGCTCCGGCCATCGGCTGCCATGTGGGACTGCCAGCCCCGTATGCCCACCGTGCTAGGACTTCTGATTTGAAAGAGAAGCCTCAAATATGGATTTGACTTGAAGTTTCCTAATTTATAAATAATAACAATCAAATTACAAAATTTTAAACTCTATGGATCATACAAAAGAAGATTGTAGGCTAAATTCATCCTGAAGACCACCAGTGTTCAACCTTGGTAGAGAGGGCTCAGGCAGAATAAAAAGAACACCCAAATTCTAGAGAAATAATAATAATGGTTAGAACAGACTGAGCGCTTAGGCGTCAGACCGTGTTAAGGGCTTTACGTCTAACATCTCATGTTTTCTTTCTAGTCACCCTGAGAAGTATGTAATACTATTATCTCTGTTCTACCAATGAGCTTAAAGAGGCTAAGTGACTTGCTCAGAGTCACAGAGCTAACGTGTGGCAGAGGCAGGATTTTAGCCCACGCCTGTCACACCCTTAGCGGATGCTCTTATCTACTCTTCATAAGGAACGCCCTCTGCACCCAGAAGGCACAAAAACTGCTTTGATCACTACTAGTCAACCTACAGATAAAGCCCTTGATGAGACTTCCAAATCAGGTCTAAAAGAAAGCCAGGCTGCCACCCTCCCACTTTGCTGCTCTTTCACAAAAACAGCAAAGCACTGCCCATACACTCATTTGTTCACTAGTTTCTTGAATGAACGAACCGTTTTGTGGTGCTTTTCAGTTTATTAAAGTGCTTTTAAATGCACATTTCACTTAATCCCCATATCAACCTTGTGGTATTGTTACCGCCATCTGACAGGTAATGAAGTGGAGGATCCGAGAGATTAGTGGGCTCACTCGAGAGCCAGGCAATTAGCAGAGCCCGGTCTCAGACTCTGCTTTTCTGATGCCAAGCCCTGTGTTCTCCTTTCCAGCAGAGGCTTCTCAGCTTCCCTCACCAGAGCTCCCAACTCCATCACTTCACTTTAAAATAATTTGTTTCGACTAATTCCTCCTCAACTCTAAAGTGACTCCAGTAGGTGTGACAGCCCCCAGGTACCATATTTACATTTTCATGGATAGCTTCATCCTGAATATAGTCAGCGAGAGGACAAAAATAAATTTATCAAGTAATACACTCAGAATCGGAATGTAAATGGGCACATACACAAGTCTTGGGATCTAATTTTAGAAAGAAACAGCCAAAAAGTCCCACACAGCACAGTGAGCATCTGGCCCTGGCGGGGAGGCTGCCCACACTGCTTTCAACCTCAATTAACCCAGGGAGAGAAGGAATCCTGGAATTCTGACTGGTATTTTGCTGTCAGCGGTACCAACTGAGTGAGGAACAGCGTAACTTTTCATCATGTTCTCCCAGAAAAATGCTAAGGCCTGGAGTAAAAAAAAAAAGGTAAACACCTCTGGGGAAATAAGGAGGTATTCCAGAAAAGCTGAGACCCTGAAAGGTTCATCAGTCTGTGACTTTGGAGTTCGGTGCTCACAGGGCTGACTCTGGTCCGGGAGCCAAGAGGAAGGAGACGGAGAAGCATGCCGACTGACCCAGCCTAGAAGCTGATCTGGTACGGGGGCCACACAGGGCTTCAAGGCCATCAGGCGATTCCAGGACATCCTGAGCCATCACAGACTCACTCACCTAATCATTATTGGTGGCTATAACCTCCTTCACAATTAAGTAGACTTGTAATTCGTCTTTCCGGCTGCCAGTGATCACGAGAATATAAGTTCCATTGTGACAGGGGATTTTCTCTTTTGTTCACTGAAATATGCCAACCGTCTAAAACGGTGCCTGGCACACAGCAAGCTTCAATAAATATTTGTTGAATAAATGACCTGGTGTTGGATGGAGTCTCCTACACCCACAGTCTAAGGTGGCCAGAGGCCAAGAACAGACTTCCATTAACCCAGTCATTTGCCTGGGCTTGCCATTTTCTCTTTGGAGACATATACTACTGCAGCTCAGGCTCCTTGAGATCCAGGGCTGGGCCTGGTACATCTTCTTTCACCGTCTTCCTGCATTATACCACCACCCCCTTAACTGTGCCTCCAATGCGCCACTCTCTGCCCACCCCCATTGGTAACACTCTTACTCAGCTCCCAAGAGCCCTCATCACACCATAGTGCCTCACCACACCTCACTCCCCTCCCCCTCTGCAGTGCCAACTGCATGCCCGTTCTGTGCCAGGCACTGTGATAAACAAAGGGGTGCAGTGGCAAAACACAGCCCCCACCTTCCAAAAGCTCCTATGGCGTGAGGGAGCCAGCCATGTGAACAATTAGGATACAATGTAATAAGCACTATAAAAAAGGTGCTGTGGCCAAAGTCACAAAATGACAACCCTCAGGCCTTAATCTAGCCCAGACGGTGATTTAATTTTATAATTAGTTTATTTTATATTTTATAATTATATATTAATATATAATATATATTATAAGTAAATTTACAATTTATAATTTTATAATTAGTTGCTAACTTATGTGTTCCTTTCACGTAAAATCTTAGACTGCCAGCATCTCTTGGAAAATCAGAAGATCTGGTAAAACTGGGCCTGTACTCCCCACAGCATCAGATGCCTTTAGCTAGGTGGTGGTTACCCCGTCAGAGGGGAAATGTGGCCTCTGGTTCCCCAAATCCCCCTGCCCATCCTCTCCCTACTGTCTGCCGGCAAAGAGGTCAAGGGTCAGCCGCCAGCTTTGCTGTAGTGGCATGGTTGTAGTCTTAGAGTAGACAAATGATTCTCTGTACCCACATTGCTACAATAAGTGAGAAAATGAAAGATAAATTGAAAAGGCCATGTGGAACACTTAAAAAAATAATGGAGAACTTATTTCCTATGAAGGTGAAGAAGACTCCTACAGATGTGATATGTAAGTAAAGTGTGTCTGTGTCTTTTTTTTTTTTTTTAAAGATTTTATTTTTTCCTTTTTCTCCCCAAAGCCCCCCGGTACATAGTTGTGTGTTCTTCGTTGTGGGTTCTTCTAGTTGTGGCATGTGGGACGCTGCCTCAGCGTGGTCTGATGAGCAGTGCCATGTCCGCGCCCAGGATTCGAACTGACGAAACACTGGGTCGCCTGCAGCAGAGCGCGCGAACTTAACCACTCGGCCACGGGGCCAGCCCCTGTCTGTGTCTTGTCTCCAGCACCCATTAGGCTTCTCAGCGTAGATCTCCTTATTTCTTTGTACACCTACTATGGGCTGATGAGCTAGACATTTGAGAAGCCGTTTTCCTGTTGTCTGGGAACTCACTGTCTAGCGGGGCAGAAGACCCGTAAAAAGAAGCTTAGCATATAATGTGAGACGTTCTATGACAAGTACTACGAGAACAGAGAGGAGGGAGCCCTAAGTCGGAGAAGTTGGGAAGAGCTCATAGAGGGGATGACCCTGAAGCTGACTCTTGAAAAGGCAAACTTTTTTCAAATGGACAGACGAAGGTGAAGAGGGCTCTGAGTAAACTCCTGAAAATAGTGCCCTGGCATTCAAAGCCCTGCTCATCGAGATGACCCACCCTCCACTAAGAAGCTGGATAAAGTCCCACAATTCTAGGCTGCTCGGAAAAGTTTCCAGGAAAGCAAGGCCAGCACAGATCCCTTCCTGCCCGAAAACCATAGAAAGAGCAGGTCCCCACTGAGAACGAACGTCCAGTTGTGTAATCCAACTTTACGTCACCAGCCAGCCTCACTGGCATTTATTCGGCAGGAATAAAAACCTGGATTTCGACTGGATTTTGAAACTTCCCAGGCCCCTGCTTCAGCTCACTTAAGAAGGTTCTTCACTGAGAATATAAAGCAATGCACAGAAACGACTCGGGCATTAGAGGAAAAAACGTGCCTCTTGCATTTCTTGCTCATAGGACAAATGCCAAGGAAGGGAATTCCCAAATCATAATAGGAGGAAGGGTGAGCATGAAAGAGAAGAAATATGGAATACCAAATTCTTGCTCATTAAGTAATCGCAAACTCTCAGAGTGCATTTCTTCAGAGTTTTTTAACACCTACCTCTGCAGTCAGAGTTGAAGCGGAATTCTTGCCACTGAGATGATTCTCGGCTTGAGCTGACTCCTGTTGAGCTCGGCGGCCCATCTTGGCCCCCTGTAAGGAGAGATGAGGGCACTGCTGACCCAAACGTCTTTGAGCCACTCTGAGGAAGACAATTCTGGGAAGGTAAGCAAGGACTGGCTTTATGATGACATCGTGGAGGATGGGATTTGAGTACCAAATCTATTCTTAGAAAAGGCTCCAAACTCTTACAACAAAATACCTGAGGTCAGTTCTACTTGGTAGGAGAAGAGGAAATTCACAATGTTAATGATCACAAGGTTTTCTTTTAAATGCCATAGATCTTTTCTACCCAAAGAAATGGAGCTAGAAATTCCTCTAGAATGGGCAGAGACCTCATGCCACAGGTCAGAGAAGAGTGTGGTAAAGGCTCCCATGTTCCTAGGCACGATTTTAGGGAGGTTTAATTTCAAAGACGCAGCTTGGCATGAAAATTGTTATCAAAAAAGCGTTCTGGGGAAAGAATTCCTAAATTCCATGGCAAGTGACACGAGAGAAATAGATAGCATTTGCTTTGACATATACACTAATTGGATTTGCACTTACAGGCATTAAAGGAAATCTCTTACAAGAATTTTGAGACATCAGCTTTGGAAATCAGAACACTTCAAATTTGGAGGCATCAAATGAACCACGTGCAGGTGTTTCCCAAAACCGTCCTGGAGCACAGGCTCTGGGTCTCAAATGCTTCCCATCACAGAAATCGAACTTTATTTAGGCAGACTGGTGGATGTTGGAATATTTATATTTTCATTTGTTTGCTTTTTTTAAAAACCAGCATTAATATAAGCACTTTTAGATCTCATCTGATGGAGCTTCACTGGATTTCACAATAACAGGGATGGGGGCTGATGCCGTTGTACAAATGAGGAAACTGAGGCCCAGGAAGACAAGTAAGCAGCAGACATAAATCTAAGAGCAAAGTCTTCTTGTCTTCATATCCTGACTTCTTTCCACCACACCATGCTGGAATTTCAGTTTTAAGATGTTCTAAGAACTGACTGCACCAATAAATGGAGAGGGGTCACACACGAGCTGCATAAAAACTCTTATGTAGTGTTTACATTTCAAATTCTAATCAATCATTTAAGTTTCGGGGATGATGGAAACAATCTTTCCGACAATAAGCAGCTCATTTTCTTCCCAAGGCAGATAATTCCACTGCTTCGCCTGTGACTGCCCTTTTCCATTTGTCATAGCATTCCGTATCTGAATATGGCATACTACACAAAGCGGCTGTGCTAGAACAAAAATTCCATGATCTTGTCTTTAAATGCTGTTTACATATGGTTTCTCTAATAACTGCTAAGTATTTTAAGGTTTTAAACTTTTTGAAGACCCTGTATAAATCCACAGGTATGAGTGGTAGAAAAACTACTCTACAACCTGATTTTGTTTATCTTAAATGTCCAGTCTGTCTGTTATCCATCTTCCCCCACTGGAATGTAAGCCCCATGAGGGCAGGGACTTTGTTTTATTAACAGCTATATCCCCAGCACTGAGGACAACGGGGGCTCAATAAATATTGGTTGAAAGACTGAATGAAGAACTACATTCACATCCCCCGGGACTAAACCAGTTCATAGATCAGGAAGGCCCAGGGACCTAATATTCTCCTTGATCAGTCAAGCAACCTGCTTCATCCTAGGACAATCTGCTCCCGTCCCTCTTATCTTCCTCAGACAGGTGCTCCTCCCCAGTACCTTACAGGATCCAGGGCTATCAGCCGCACTTCAAAACACAGATTTCACAGCAGAAACTAAAAGACCTGCCATGTGGCTCAATCCTTTAGTGACTGTGCTCTTGACTAATTTTAAAGGTAAAAAGGGCTTGATGGGGCTGTGATGGAGTTAAAAAAAGACATTGAACTTGGGTCTTGAACCTAACTCGGTTATCTACCCACTATATAACCTTGGGTAAATCACAGCCTCAGAAAGACCAGCAGCTAACCTCTTCTAATAACTTAGCATGTGCCAGGCACTGTGTGAAATGCTTTCCGTGCATTATCCCATTTCACCTCCACCGCAACTCCTTGAAGATAGTAACTTCTCCAACATCTCCAGCCTCGTGCTAAGGACACCGAGGTTTGGAGAGGTTAACTTTTTCTCAACCCACGCAACAGCTTTATACTCTATTTGACCTCTGGGTCTCGAGCACCTGGCCACTCCTCCGCGTTATAAATCCGAGTCTTGATTTCCTTAACTACTAACACTAAGATAACGGCCACCTCCCTGTGGAGATTACGGGCCAGAAAGGTCCTCTCCATCGGCCGGCCTTCCTTCCTTCCATGCATAACACAGCGCGCCTTTTGCATGAACTTCTGGCGTGAGAAGTCCCAAGGGAAAACTCTAGGATGGGTGCAAGTGCGACCCTGGCCAGAAACCCTCCAGTCACCCTCAGATCTGTCCGTTCTACGGGCGTTCACTCTTGGGGCTCCAGGAAGCGGAATAGGCTGGGAAATTTCCCAATGGTCCCAGAGGCTGGCAGGGGCAGGATCTGTTTTCTACTGTTTGAGGATTTTTAAAGAAAGCAAACCCCAGGCCAGCAGCGGCGGAGCCCATCGCCGTCCGGGGGCGGGGCAGATGAGGCCGCCTCCTCCCGGCCTCACCCCGGCGCGGCTCGGGGCCCGTCCGCTCCAGGCCGCGCCGAGGCGCCTCCGGGAAGCCGGGCCGGCGGGGTCGCTCCTCCCCACCCGCCAGATCCTGGCCCCAAGCCCCCCGCGTCGGTCCTCACGGAGGTGGCCGAGCTGCGGCGCCGCTCCTCGCCGAGGTCCAGCAAGTCGTCCATCTCCGCGGCCGCCTGACGTCACTTCCTGGAAACCCAGCGGCCAGTCGCGTCCCTGACGACGGCCCCGCCCTTCCACCCCAATATTTAAAGGGTCCGCCGCATTGTGGCGGATTCTATGTACCACCCTCCGATTTAAACCAAATCTTTCCTAACCCTGCCTTGCTTGACTTCTGGAAGAAACCTCCAGATAATAAGTTCTGCTAGGCTGCTCCTGTGGAAGTGAGAAAAAATGCTAGTCTTTAGGAACTGTCTACATGTGTAGTTCTGTTTAAATACATAAGCTATTAAGTGCAAAGCGCTTCTACTGATAATAATTAGACGGATCCCTCCTATTTGTATAGCCCTTTGCAATGTCCAGAGGACCTTCACAGTTATTAGCTCACGTGAAGGATATAACAACCTTGTATGGGAAGCAAGATAAGTTGTATTGCCTCCATTGGACAGATGAGAAAACATGCTACAGGAGGGCAGGTGCTAATAAATGGTTTATAATGGAAAAAGCAATAGTCCTAATCTCTGCCTTCAAAAAGTTTACAGAGATGCTGAATCAACTCATCAAATACCTGAGTAGTAATAACTTTCAAAAGTACAAATAATTCGTCCAACACCCCCATAAAGTGAGCAGCTGTAATATTTCTATTCAACAATTGAGGACACTGAGGTGCAAAGAGGTGCCTTGAGGAAAATCACTTGAGTGTCAAGCAGCAGAGCCAGGTGCTTTTCTGACACCAGATCTTACCGGAGTATTTTTCTCCAGCACATATTACTGGGTGCCAGCCATTCTCCCAGGCCAGCAGAGGAAGATGTCCCCCAAATCCCCCACTAATGGGGCAAGCGAGTTGAGTCTTCATTGACTCTCCATGTAAGGTCTCCAAGTCAACACTACTGGCCAGGTCCCTGGTACTGGTCAGCTGGGATCCCCAGAAGATGGACTCATGGCCCTGAAAGTGAGCAATGTTCCCAAAATCATGCTGGAGGTAAGGCCTAGATGGCCACTGCTCAAAAGTGAGGACCTGGAAGAGAGAGTAGCACATCTCAACCTGGATTGCAAGCATTTCTTAGATACCCAGGAAACTACTCAGTTCAACCACTCTTTCATACGTGTTTACCGGTGGGGCTGTGCCTTAGCACGCCTGGTGACAGCAACAGCACCACCCAGATGTCAGAAGAGTGGAGGTTTCATCCCAGCTCTGCTGACAACCTTGTAGCCAGGCAGAGCCCCCACTGGACCTCAGGTTCCTCCCTCAGGATTACTCTTAGAGATTACCCAGAAAATCTTTTACTTGCTAACTCTGATTCCCAGTGAGAATACCCTGTTGGATTTTCATCTGAAGAAACATTTGTTGCCAAAAATCCAAGATGGATGAAACATGGCCTCCAATGACTCTCTGGTTCCCCTCTTCCTTGGCTCCAGATGAGAAAGAAAGTATTAATCTTTGGATTTTTCCATTGCTTGTGGGCTCCCAGCCACACCACGACCACCTTCTTTCTATCCAGTTTCCAAACCTTCACTCCCACTTCTTCCCCAACTTCCTGGAAGCCAAAGGCAGAAAAAAGCCCTCCAGTGGTGGCTTCCAAACCTTGCTGGGCGCCTGAATCGCCTGTGAGGTTTGTTAAGAGTAGGTATGCCAGAGCCCCACCCCTGCAGACACTCACTTGATAGAGGTGGAGGCCAGATGGATACAACTGTAATAATTTTCCCTCCCACCTTGCAAGTGGCCTTCTCTGATCATCCTATTTTTAAATTGCAACTGCCGCCAACCTAGGCACTCCCTCCCCTCCTTCCCTGCTTTATTTTCCACCATGGCACTTACTACATAATTTGCATATTTATTTAGTTTATTGCCTTCCCTGCTGCCCCACCTCGGCCTCTAGAAGGAAGGAAGCTCCATGAGGGGGTTTTGTTTGTTTGTTTTGTTTACTGCTGCATCCCCAGAGCCTAGAACAGTACCTGGCATATAGTAAACGTCAAAAATAGTTCTCAAATGATGCCTGAATTCCAGAGACAGTGTAGCCTAGTAGTTAAGCGCACAGAGTCTGGCAATAGACTTCCTGGGTGGAAATCTCAGTGCTGACACCCACTGGCTATATGACTTGTAAAAGCAACTTCAAAGGAAGTTACTTTAAGCTTTCTACACGTAGGTTTCCTCATTTGTTACGCGAATGAAAATAATGCCTACCCAAACTAGAGAGCCTGTGTTAAATACCACCTCCACCACTCACAAACAGCGTGGCCTTTTAAAATCGCTCTGTGCCTCAGTTTCCTCAACCGTAAACTGATCAACCACTATCCCGGGGACGCCACGAACATCCCTTCCGTTAGTGGCCTAGGAGCCTGGAGCTGGAACCAGCCCTCGCAAGAAGGGTCCAGGAAGGCGGGAATGTGGTGAGGTAGAGTGGTGGGAAGCTGAACTGATCGCCAGCAAAGTGATCAGTTCACAGGCAAGTCCTGTGTTGGGGGGCGCGGGGGTGGGGAGCAATGCGCCTTGCCCTCCCTAAGCCTCTGGGAAAATACCTAGAGGCTTAGGCTGAGAAGAACGAAAGCGGAGAAAACTTCCCCTCACCCATCTGGGAAATGGGCTCGGGCCAACTGCTGACTTTGCGCTCGCTGGCGCAGCTCCCTGCGGAACCCTGGGCGGGGAGGGAGGCTGCGAACATCTGGTGGACATTTCTGAGAGAGCGGCTGCAGCGGGGCTGGGGGAAGCAGAGGTGCACTTGTACGCACGTGGGGCCGCGGGGGAGGCCGCTCCCCGGGCCCCTCGGTCCTGTTCCCCTCGCCCTCTCTCGCAGCCCCTTCGCCCCCACCCCCAGCCCTTCGTTTTCCCTGCTCTGACCCGCCGGGCCTCGTTCACTGGCGGCCTCGCCTCGCCAGAGGGCACCCTCGATCTGCCGGAAAAAAACGCCACCATTTTTTTCCAAGTCCCTGGAGCATCTCCAAGCTTCAGCAAGCCACCCGACTCCAATCTTGTCAATGAAGAATCGGGGCCAGGATCGCCGCGGAGCTGAACCCACCTCCAACCCCGCTCCCAGGCCGGGCGTCACCCCCGCGGAGGGTGGGCACGGCCGCCCCTGCCCAGGCCCCGCGAGCTCCCCTGACCCTGCCCAGTGTCCCGCCTGGCCCGGGGGCGGCCCGGGACTGGGGGCCAGGGAGGGAGCGAGAGACAGGCCGAGGAGAGGACCGACTGACAGCTGGCGAGAGCGCGAAGGAGTTGGGGGAGAAGGAGGGAGGGGATTCACCGGGAGTAACTTTCCAGAAAAACAGTCAACGTGTAGCAGGAGTGACTCCAAGAGGGGAAAAAAAGTTCAGTTACCACGTCGAACGAGAGGACTCGCAAAGTATTTTTCAAATGGGCTCGGCTTTTCCTGTGCCTGTTTAAAACATTAAAATCGTGCAGCAAACGAGGCTGCGTGCGCTGGTCCCTCCCTCCCCCACCCCGGCCAGAGACGTCATGGGAGGGAGGTATAAAATTTCAGCAGAGAGAAATAGAGAAAGCAGTGTGTGTGCATGTGTGTGTGCGGGAGAGAGAGAGAGAGAGAGAGAGAGAGAGAGAGAGAGAGAGAGAGGGAGAGGGAGAGAGGAGCAGCAGGGGCAGAAAGGGAGGGAAGCAGAAAGCCAAGTCCGAGGGAAGGAGCAGGAGAGGCTAGAAATAGGGGAAGGAGCCTGAGAGAGGAGCAACAGCTTTCCGGAGCAGGCTGCACTGAACTGGCTGGCTTCTACTTGATTTTTCTTTTCCTTTTTATTTTTTAAAGAGAAGCAGGGAACAGAAGCAATGGCCGAGGGAGAAGACAAGCCGAGGTGCTGGTGACCCTGGGCGTCCAAGTGGATTATTGGGGCTGCTCTCCAAGGGCCTGTCCTCCCGGCCTTCCAATTGCACATAAGCCCCCTTCCCAGCCAATGAAGACGAGAGGCAGCGTGAACAAAGTCATTTAGAAAGCCCCCGAGGAAGTGTAAACAAAAGAGAAAGCATGAATGGTGTGCCAGAGAGACAAGTGTGTCCTGCGCTGCCCCCACCTTTAGCTGGGCCAGCAGCCTCCCAGCCCTGCCTCTCCCCACCTACTCACTGGTGATCTGACTTTTTTTTTTTTTTAACATTTTTTTTTTCTTTTCTTTTCCATTCTCTTTTCTTATTCTCCTTCGGGGCAAGGCAAGGATTTTGATTTGGGGCCCCAGCCATGGTCCCTCTGCTCCTTCTTTAAAATACTCACTTTCTCCCCATCGCCAAGCGCCGTTTGGCAATATCAGATATCCGCTCTATTTATTTTTACCTAAGGAAAAACTCCAGCTCCCTTCCCACTCCCAGCTGCCTTGCCTCCCCTCCCAGCCCTCTGCTTGCCCTCCACCTGGCCTGCTGGGAGCCAGAGCCCAGCAGAACCTGTTTAGACACATGGAGAAGAAACCCAGAGCTGCAAGGCACACAGCCGGCTTCTTCGTGCTCAGGGTTGCCAGCGCTTCCTGGAAGTCCTGAAGCTCTCGCAGTGCAGTGAGTTCATGCACCTTCTTGCCAAGCCTCAGTCTTCGGGATCTAGGGAGGCCGCCTGGTTTTCCTCCCTCTTTCTGCACGTCTGCTGGGGTCTCCTCCTCGCCAGGCCTCGCAGCCCCCCTGGCCTCTCTCCCCGGCTCGCGCATGAAGATGCACTTGCAAAGGGCTCTGGTGGTCCTGGCCTTGCTGAACTTTGCCACGGTCAGCCTCTCTCTGTCCACTTGCACCACCTTGGACTTCGGCCACATCAAGAAGAAGAGGGTGGAAGCCATTAGGGGACAGATCTTGAGCAAACTCAGGCTCACCAGTCCCCCCGAGCCATCGGTGATGACCCACGTCCCCTACCAGGTCCTGGCCCTTTACAACAGCACCCGGGAGCTGCTGGAGGAGATGCACGGGGAGAGGGAGGACGGCTGCACTCAGGAAAACACGGAGTCGGAGTACTATGCCAAAGAAATCCATAAGTTCGACATGATCCAGGGCCTGGCGGAGCACAGTGAGTCCACATTCTCTATGGGCTGTCTGCTCTGGAGGGTCTGAACTGGAGTAGGGAGCTCCACAGAGGGGGGCCTAGCGGTGGCCACACGCCAGGGTGCCCCCGGTGCATCGGCACCAAGGCGCAGTAGGTGTGATGCGCGGTTGGGGCTGGGTAGGTGGGTGGGAAGGGAGACAGAGCCATTCTGGGAAGAGCCGGGTGCTTCTGGGAGGCCAGGAGCCTTCGAGTTGAGTGGCTTGCTGAACTCATCACATCTTTGAGTTTAATTGGGAATTACAGTGTGCTGTCCCGTTAACCTGTGTGCGTGAGCTGGCACATGCACAGATAGGTAACTGTAGGCACAGAGGTGCCCTTACAGGGCAGGGCTGCTCTCTGTCAAGCCCTTCCGTTCCAGGAGTGTGGAGACCTCTGTCTTCTCCTTGCTTTTCACAACTCATCGTGACACGTCTCCAGTTCCATTTTTCCAGTTCTTGGGAAGAAGGGTATACTTGCCCCAAATTAATGTCTGTCAAGCTTTTTGAAGCCCAGCTTCTTGCTGTCTAGGCCCTTCAGTCTACGCCACACACGTGACCCACGTGAGGTGTGTGTGGGGGGGAGAAGGGTACGTACCTATGTTCACGTCTGCACGTGCTTTAGGACGATGTGTGGTCTTGCTCTGTACGGTAGACAGATTCGTGTGCTCAAAATGGGTGTCTTCCAGGCCTGTGGACACGGGGAAAGTAGGGCCATGGCTCTGGATGTGCAGATGATTGCTGCAGGCCCTTTTGTGTCTGCGTGTCATGGGAAGAGTGGGTGGGAGGGATGGCTGTGGGTACAGAGGGGACGTGTGTCTGGAAGTGCGTCCTCCCGAGAGGCTCCTGTCTGTGCCGAGACCCTGGGAGGCTTCTGGGTGAGCTGTCTGTGTGTTTGTACACGTGTGGAAGTCATGTGTGTTTACTGAACGGGGATTTAAAAAACCTCAATACAAGAGAGAGAGATTTGGCAGATGTTGAGAAACTGACAGCCCAGGAAGGAGGAATGTGAGCCACTCGTGGGCCAGAGACTCTGGGCGCAGCGCTGTTTGCTGTTCCGACCAGCAGGTGTCCTCGCCACCCTGACTACCTCAGCCTCTGCTCACCTGGGAGGTGGGCAGTGCTGGGAGGGGGGCGGGAGGGTGGGACAGAGCAGGCAGGGTGAGGGTGGCCAGCAGCAGGGGGACTGCAGAGGTTGAAAGGAACCTGGCTAGAGAGAAGGAAGAGGAGTGGGTGGCTGATGGGTGGCTGAAGGTGCCAAAGGCCCCGCTGGGAGCTGACCCACACCAGGCCCAGGAGCCTGTGGTTACTGGCGAGGGGTTTCCACTCCCGTTTCCTGTGGCCGCTTGGAGTGCCCAGCCTTAGGATGTGGCTACCATGTGGAGTGGAGGCGGAGGATGAGGCAGTTAGTGCTCCCTGCCTAGGGGCTCCTCTGGGTGGGGCTGATTCAGGGTCTGCCAGGGCCCTACAGTTCCCAGAGGCACCAGCAGCTGGATGGCTGAACCCCCAACCCCCTGGGCACCCATGGAGGCAGGAGATAGCAGCTCCAAATGTCGGAGGAGGGTAGAAAGCTGAGGCCTGCAGGAGAGGTCTGAGGAGAGTCCAGGGTGAGAGGGAAGGACTCAGACCTTAATGATCCGGGTCAGGAGGAGGAGTCCTGGGGAGGAGGGATTCTGAGTCACCAGGGCCCACCCCGCTTGGAATCCTGAACTGAGAATGAATGAGCCAGATAGAGGGAAGGGCACGCAGGTGCCAGTGGACATCAATTTTGTGCAGACACTTGGATCAGAAATGGTGGATAGCCTTGGGAAACGCCAGGGCAGGCCTGCACAGATGCTGGGCAGCTCCAGGCTGCAGCGCCAGGACCTTCAGACTGTAGCCGGTGGGGGTGGCCTTGGGGCCAGGGAGCCGTGGTCAGGTGGGGAACAAACCCGCCACAGTGAGCAGGATGCTACGCCGGATATCGTGGAGGGGCCAGGGCGCAGTGGGACACAGGTAATGCCAGTGAGGTTCGCAGGTGCCAACAGGAAGCAAGCCCAGACTCTCTGCAGCTGCTGAAGGTGACACAGAGGCTGAGCAGACACAGCCTGGGCCCACCCTGCAGCTGGTCAGGTGCTGAGCCAGCCCCGGAGAGGCAGACGCACAGGCACACTAATTATAAAGAAGGCAGTGGGCAGATGCAAATGCCCAGCAGATGCTGAGCGGGAGCAGAGTGCCGTCACAGAGGCTCGGGGTGAGGGAAGCCTGTCTGGAGATCATGAGGGTGCACAGGGGCTGGTAGGGGATCTGTGGTGGGGCACTGGCAGGGTCTGGGTGCAGAGCCTTTGCCGGGGAGGTGACGAGATTGTGTTCTCTTCTACATTTCATCACCCCCAGCCCTTTGCCTCGCCTAGTGTACAGGCACTGGGAGGGAAATGACAGCAGGAGCTGGGGCAGGAAGACGGGGTGCCCGGCGAGCAGAGTGCAGGAAGGAATAATTTCCAGTGGCTCAGGAGAAAGGGCACCAAGGTGAGAGCAAAGAGGACAGAGCCCATCCTCTGGCTCTGCCCTGTCAGATAGGTACCTTGATTTCCCTATTAAAATACGGAGGATGCTGAAACATGCATCACTTAAGTCATTGGCCCAAAAAGAGCAGGGACTCTAACCTGGACATTCTGCCTGCAGAATGCGTGCTGTTAGGCACTAATGCATATGTGTAAAATATGGATTTTAAGTCCCACGTTTAACCTTTAGGCTCTAATAGAACTTTGGTTTACAACGTGAACAAATCCCACGATGGACCAAGCAGGAGGAGATGGGAGCTGTCATCTCAGCAGCCCCGGTGGCGGATCGCACAGGGATGACTGGGTGTGTGCTTCCTTAGCTCTGCCTATTTTTTTTGGCCGGGAGATTTGTACTGCCACAAACATTCTCCCAAATTCAACAAAAGGGTTTTCTTTATCTGCTGAAGAGTCTCAAGCAGGTTGAGCAACTATACCGTGTGGAATTGGGCACGTCGCCTCTCTGAGCCTCAGTTTCCTCCTCTGTAAGTTAGAGAGAGTCTCTAAACTCTTTGAGCTGGAACAATTTGATGTGTCCATCTGGGCTGATTCAACGCAGCCTCTGCTAGGGGGTGAAGGCCAGACTCTGCAATCCCTTTTCTAATTCTCTAGGATTTTGCTATGGGGAGTAAGTAGAGGCTTTCTCTGACCCACGTGGTGGGGAAGGACACAGCTTTTTCAGTTCCGCTGTCATCCTTGTCATCAAGATATCACCGGTGTAGGTGTCATTTTAACTCCTGGCTTGTAATTATCTGTGTCTGGCGGCAGACTCTTGTTTTCATCCCAGAGCAGCGCTAAGACAGCCAGCAAACCCCATAGTTCCTGAGCAAAGAGAACGCTTGAGATTTCAGCCTTTCTTTTCTGGATGCTACATTTAGATTTTATTCCTCCTGAAAATTAAAAGACGTTTCATATTGAAAGAACTCGTTTGTTCTAAGTGCCAGTGCCCTCTGCACACTAGTCAGTGTTTCTCCAAGGGGGTCCAGAGGCTAGAGAAATGTGGATTCCCAGGCCCCCCACCCCACAGTATCAGAATCTTAGGGGGGAGGGGGTCCTGGGGCATCTGTATTTTCAACAAGCTCTCTATTGATTCTTAAACTCCCTGAAGCTTAAGACTCAGTGAACTGGGGCAAAACCTTTCCTCAGAGGGTCTGCAAACGCAACTGCCCACAGAGGCCAAGCAGCTAATGCAAATGATCTAGAAGAAAAGCCACAACATACACACCGTGACAAACTGCACAGGACACTTGGCCTCAGGGTCATGGGGAGAAGAGGGTGTGTAGGGGTGGCTGGTGGGGGTGACCTGGAAGTGCGCCCATCCCCATGAGAGAGGCATCTACTGCTCAGCTCTCACTGAGTTTTGCATTTAACCATGTGGGCCCAGCTTGACTAGATCTTACCGTTTCCCAGAAGAGCAGAAAATCTGGATCTTTGTGTGAAATTTCCCAACTTTTAACATGGGCTTAAAATGTTTATGGGCTTCTAATTCAAAATTTTAAAAAATGATGCATTGGCTAAACGACATGTCTCAAGCATTGAAAGGTTAACCCACTTAAAGTTTAAGTCATTAAAGCTGTGGTTTCTCAAACTTCCAGAACATGTGGAAGCCATGGTACCCTTTGCAGAGCACTCTAAACTGGGGTTCTCAACCCTGGCTGCACATCAGAATCATCTGGAGAGCCTAAAAAACAGAAAAGAAAAGAGCTCTGGACACGCCCATTCCGATGGAGTCAGAGTCTCTGGCGAGTCTGGCGTGATCTGTCGTTAAGGCTCTCCAGGTGATGCTAATGTACGGCCAGGACAAAGAAGGACTGCCACGCTGATACATGTGGTCCCATCCTTGGAACCAGCAGTCATGTTACCAGCGGAAATGATGCATGCAAGCAAAGGCACATGTCGGAACCCAGGTGTCTCAAAACATTTTAAAAGGCGGTGGTCTAAACATGGTCAGCGATTTCCAGGTTTTTCCATGAATACTCTACTTGAATATTCTTTGCTTATTTTTCTTTCCCTATAGCAAAAAAGAGAAAATGGCCTCCGTCGATATATATATTTCTTGTGCAATGGAAAAAGTTGGTCATAATTTAATTTGTAAAGGTGGACCCCCTAGTCCAGCTCTCGATAATACTAGTGTTCTGCAGAAGCATGGCTTAACCACAAAACTGCCTGGGAGTTGGCTCCTGTCTGAGGCGTAGGTTGGTACTCTAGGCTCATTTCGTGGAATCCTGCCACATTTTGCTGGTGAAACCATCCCTCCCCTAGATGATCTCTCAGGGCCCTCCAACGTCCAGAGTCTCCACTTCAATGGATGACATCAGAAGACCTGGGTTCAAATCTCACCTCTGCCACCTACTAGCTGAGTGACCCTGGGAAAATCATTTAACTTTCCTGACACTCACCTTTCTCGTTTGTTAAATAGTGAATTTTATTCTCATTCTCCTCAAGGATTGTCAGAGTCAGATGAGTTAATAAAAGCTCTATGAAATGGAAGGTGATGTTACTGCATTTTTAAAATTTATGCTCTGACTCATCCACAAATTTTTTTTCTGCTGTTTCTCCCCAGATCCCTCCAGTACATAGTTGTATCCTTTAGTTGTGGGTCCTTCTAGTTTTGGCATGTGGGATGCCGCCTTAGCGTGGCCTAATGAGTGGTGCCATGTCCGCGCCCAGGATCCGAACCAGCGAAACCCTGGGCCGCCGAAGCGGAGCGTGTGAACTTAATCACTCGGCCACGGGGCCAGCCCCCATCCACAAATTTTTTAAAACATCATTATTCTTCAATGTTTTTAATTGCTAAGAAGGTTATATTTACATTTTCTTTTCTCTCCTAGGCAATTGTTTTTTAATCGCTAACAATTGTGTCTGAGCTTTGCTTGTTAGTGTCCATTTGTGTGACCTTAGCCAGGATCCCTCTGAACATCAGTTTCTTCATCCGAAGAGGATTTCACTAGACGATGCCTAAAGTTCCTTCTAAGTCTATTAGAAATCTGTAGATCTCAATGATAAAAATGACCCTTCCCACCTCCTTCTTGAAATATCCTTGAAATGCCCACCAAGAGGAGTCCATCACAGGGAACAGATGTCTGACTGATGGGCTGGAAAAACCAAGGAAGAGTGGTCACTAGGGTGTCTGAGGGCCCTCTTAGCTCATCGCGCCCCCCATCTCCTGGCTTGCCACTCTTTTGACTCCTCCGGCCCTCCTCGCTGGCACGTGGCATTTTCCATCCGCTTTTTCCTTTCACAGCAATGCATGCATTGTGCTGACGTACTGTTGATCCCCTCTGTCAGCAGTTACTGGAGGTACTATTGGAACTGAAGCCATATTGATGACAGCTCCTTCAAAAACCAAGTATGTCAGTACTTCAGAGGGTTGCCAGTCCAAGTAGCTTATCCATGTCCAGAAGGTTACAAACTTGCAAACTTAAAAACTAAATTGCCGTCACGATTCCTCTTTCTGGTTCTATCTGAAATGGCTTAGGGAATAGTTGGCAGTACTTGTCCTTTCAAAGCCAATTATTAATCAGGGCTTCATTAGCTGGCATTCACACATTTGTTTTCCTAACATCTGTTCCATTAATTTTCTAAGAACCAGTGTCAGGCCCACCAGATGGCAATTTCCAGAAACACTCACTCCCCCTTTCCTAAAGATCAGTAGCACATTTGCTTGTTCCAGGCCTCTGATCCTTCCCGCCTTGTCCATGACTTCCCAAACCACCCCTCGGGGTGATTATGAGCTCATTCCAGCCATGTCCATTATGTGTGGAATCTGGGTCTATGAGCTTGAATTTCAACTTCTGGCTATTGTTACCATTTGTGTAGAAAGTTTTTCTCTGGGTGTTAATGCTGCTCAGACCTTGAGGTTGTAGAGTGTACAGGAGCAAAGACAGGATCTTTCGCTTCCCTTTCTCTGACTCTGAGGGGTGGGAAAGCATTTGCTGCCTTCTGTCTTGTGGACAAGGACGAAGAGGCCAGCAGGGTGACCGAGGCTGGCACAGCGTGTGCTGTCAAGGAAAGAAACCCTTCGAGAGAAAGGAGCCAATAGTGACGGACCAGCTCGGTCTGAAGAAACATCTGTGTGTCTGCCAGGCTCGAGGTATGGGCTCTTTGCCATACCAGGGCTGTCTCGTTAGGTCTAAAACACGGTGTTGATAATGTCACTGCACTGCTCTAACACTTTCCATGGCTCCCTATTGTTAATGGCCTAAAATCCAACCCCTCAGCCTAACATTTCAGCTTCCCACAGGTGGTTACCAGTCTGCTGTCCTGACCTCGTCTCGGGCTCTAGCCTGGCTGCCTGGGGTCCCTCTTACTTGCATTTCCTCCCCTCCCTGCCTTTGCTTCCAGCAGTCCTTCTTTGTAAAATTTCTTTCCTCTCCATCCTCAAACTCTTTCCTCCTGCAGGACCCAGTTCAAATATCACCTCTGCCGTGAAGTGCTCTCTGCTGTCTTGCTCCTTCTCTTTGCAGAAACTCCTGGGCTTCTCCAAAGGCCTGCCAAACTTTCCCTCTGGTCCTGTTATTTGGGTTTAGGTATTAATAACCTCCCCTTGGTATTAATCTCTTTGAAGGCAGGGCCGTGTCTATTCATTTTTGCTTCCCCGTGAGCACTATCCTTGGCACATAGAATTTGCTCAGCACACAGTCAATAAATGAATGAATGAATGAATGCCCAAATGAACAAACACATGAAATGAATCGACTTGTATGAGACGATTAAACTACTAGGGGCAGTTGCTGCTATCTTTTGAGAGTGTATATTTTCTAAAAGAGTAGGAAAAGCAGGCTGCAGAGCCTGCCAGGGTTGGGATGTCAAGGCAATGGGAGGAGGGGTGATTACATTTGACCGGCCAGTCCTAGTGCCATGTCCTGGGGCTCCGAGGTCTCCCTGCTCCTCACTCAGGCCTGTTTGTGATTCCAGGGCCACCAAGGATCTTCCTCCTCTCCCACCTTTAGATCTGAGGCCTCCAGCCTCTAGGAAGGTCACAGTTGGGACCTTGGCCACTTGGCAGGTGTCTGTTGGCAGCACTGTGCTCCTGTGGGTCCCACTCATGTTGCCCCTCTCCCCGCTGCTTTATCTCCTAGATGAGCTGGCCGTCTGCCCCAAAGGAATCACCTCCAAGGTTTTCCGCTTCAACGTGTCCTCAGTGGAGAAAAATGGAACCAACCTGTTCCGAGCAGAATTCCGGGTCTTGCGGGTGCCCAACCCCAGCTCCAAGCGCAACGAGCAGAGGATCGAGCTCTTCCAGGTGAACTCCCTTCCAGAACAGAAACCTCACAGATGGGAAAGCCAGCCCCCTTGCCCTATCAGACCTCCACGCGGCGCAGAGTTCAGCAGACCTGGGTGTGAATCCTGCCTTCTCTGGGCCTCACTTTCTGTATCTGTGTCCGTCATTAAGAGGGTTGAAAGAGTTGGGGTGCTTGAAGGAGCATTCAGGAACTTCTGGTTTCCTGTTGCTTCCCTCCCCTGCCCTCGTGCGTTGTGATGTCTCCTGCAGTCCTCCGTCCCGCCCTTGAGCACTTACTCCTTTCTCTGCCCTGTGTAGATACTCCGGCCGGATGAGCATATCGCCAAACAACGCTATATCGGTGGCAAGAACCTGCCCACGCGGGGCACCGCTGAGTGGCTGTCTTTTGATGTCACTGACACTGTGCGTGAATGGCTCTTGCGAAGAGGTAGGTCGACTCTTAGGTTGAGCCTTATGGAAGGAACCTCAGGTCCCTTGGTCTTTCATAAAACAGAGGGAAGAGGACAGAACTAGAGGAGCCACGGATCTGGGTTCAGAGCCGAGCTCTGCCGCTGACTCCATGTGTCCTTCATCCATTCGCTCATCTAATGCTTATTAAATGCTCGCTCTGAGCTGGGCCTTGGGGATGCAGCAGTGAACAAGACACGTGTGGCTCTAGATCTCAGGGGGCTTTTGTTCTGATGGGAGAGACACCTAATAAACAAGTAAACATATTGACGAAGAGGAATTTCAGATAATGTAAGTACATGAAGAGCAGAAAGAGGGCAGTGTGATAAGGAGTGGCTGGGGTCCAGCATTACATGCTCAGGGAGGGTCTCTGTGAAGAAGGAGTTTGAATCGAGATCTGAGTGATGAGAAGCAGCCAGCCCGTGGAGGTCAGGATAAACGATGTTCAAAGCAAAGGAAAGAGTGGGGCCCAGGCCCTCAGGTGGGAACAAGCTTGCTTTGTTCCAGTAACAGCAAACAGACTGGTGTGGCTGGAGTGGAGTGAGCGGGGGGCTCAGAGAGGTCACTGGGGCCATATGACTTAGGACCTCTAAGGCCCTGATCAGGTTTTAGGACTTGGAAAATTCCAAGTGTGATGAGAAGTCCTGGGAATGTTATAATCAGGCCTGGGGATGTGGGGGGAGGTGATTTGGTTTACATCTTTAAAACACCCCTCTGGTTGCCATGAGGTCGAGGGAAGAAGCGAGAACAGCAGTTGGGGGCAGGAGCTGAGGTGAGAGCATGGGGTCTTCGCTGGGGCAGTGGCAGTGGGCATGGAGACGGTGTGGATTTGTTCTGTTTTGGCAGTAGAGCCAATCAGTAGGCTGATTAGGTATGGGGTGTGAGGACACAAGAGGAGTCTAGGATGACTTCTAGGAGTTCGGACTCAACAGCCAGGTGGGAACACTTACTGAAATAGAGGAGACTGGGAGAAGAGCAGGTTTGGGGGCAAGCTCTGTTTTGGCCAATATAGTGTGAAAGGCTTGGTAGTCATCCAAGTAGAGCTGTGCAACAGGCATACCAAACATCACCCATCCTAAATGTCTCACCCACCCGCTCTGTTTCCTCACCTGGAAAACAAGGTAACGGTGCCTCCCAGTCATGCTTCCCAGAGCTGTCTTAAGGACCTCTTGTATTTGGGAGAACTTCATGGCTTTCAGCCTGTTATACAAGAGAAAGCTTTTATTGGGTCAGATAAGGAAACTGAGGCCCAGAGAAGTTGAGCGACTTGACCAAGGTCACCCAGCCTGAACTAGAACTGGAGTCTCCTGACTGACAGTCACGGTGTCTCAGGATACCACGCTCTACTGTTTCTCCCCTCTTTGACTTGGTGGTGCTGCCTGGTCTGAGCTCAGTGGCTGGGGTACCTGTGGCCGTCCCATGTCTTCCTTCTCTCCTTCTTGCAAAGAGTTTTCTACTGTCATCAGCTGCCCTAGAGCCACAGTCCGTCCACACACTGATGTCCAGAGTCCCTGGGGCAGGTGGGTCCTTTCTTGTCCTTGATGTTTTAGGAAACTAGAACTTAAAGCTCTAAGGCAGAGATCACAAACTGTGTGGACTACATATTGTTTTAAATTAACTAGTGGTCAACAATTTTTGTTTCTGTTTTTACAATCAGGAGATTTCACATAAAACCTGCGCTTCTAGCTCTTCTTGAAAAATTGGAAGATTTCTGGTACTGATCCACTAGAGATATGTAGTGGCCACCTCTTGAGGTGGGACATGCGTTTTTCATGTCCCCACAGGCCCCACCATTCCCCAGTGTTCCCCAAGAATGAGGCTGGCAGTCCCTATTCAGGATGACTTGCTGGCTCGCTTTGCTCATTTGCATAACCTGCCTGGGCCGTGTAGGCATCCGAGTTTGCAGGTCCCCATCGAAGAGGCCTTGCCTGTAGACTGAGCTGGCAGCTCATGGGCTGGAGGTCTTCCCCAGCTCCAAGGGTGCCCAGGAATTCCATCCTCTCTCTCCGACTGAGCACGAAGGCAAAAGCCTAGGACAGACCACGTGGATCTGCTGACAGCAGCACTGCTGGGAATTCTGACTCAGACAGCCCTCCGCCTAGAGCCCGCCATGGCCACAGAAAGAAGAGGCCGGGGAAATTAATCTCTTAGCTTCCCTGTCTGATTTTGATCAGCTCCACCTGGATGTCTTTGAAGCCCTGGGCACTTGAAGGAGTTCTTATTTTCACAGCTGCAGCACTCAATGAGAAGTTTGCATCGAGAATGATTTCCATCCTTGAGACATCAAAAAGATAATTTCGTAATAAAACCTATGGGTCCCCCACCCACCATCCCCACCGCTGCCAACTCTGAGGTTAGTTCTTATTAGAACCTTCAGTTCCCACTCAGACAGCTGCGCCGCCCCTCGTGCGGGGGATCACACCCAGATCTTGGCTTATGCGGAGCTCAACAGTCTCTTCAGAGGTCGTGGCCCCAGACGAGGCAGCACATGGACTCCAAATGGAACGCTTGGTGGTGGGGACTGATGAGGAAACTGAGTCATACATATGGTCTTGGATTCATTCAGCAAACATCTGAGAGCCTACTGTCCACCAGGTTCCCAGGCTGCCTTCTGGGTCCAGAGCTGGCTGGAGCCCCATCCAGGGTTGGAGGCCCAGGCCCTCAAACGCTTGTGCTGTTGCTCCACACAGTCTGTGGCTTCTCTGTGTGCAGGGCCAGGCCTCCCCTAGCTGGGCAGAGTGCATGCCCAGCCGCATGGCTCAGGACAGGGGGTACTCTGGGAAAACACAAGCTTTTTGCATCTCAGCGAATATGTGGGCATCTTCCTTGGTGGTCTCTGTTGGGCCTTTGTTCCCATTTGTTTCTAACAATTAGGAATGTGGCTCTGACATCAGGCTGCCTGTGTTTGCATCCTTGTTCTACCACTTACTGGTTGGGTACCGTGGGCAAGCCATTTAATTTCCCTAAGCCTCAGTGGTCTCATCTATATAATGGGGTAATAATAGTTCTGACTTTGTGGGATTATTCTGGAGATTAAATGAGTTAATGCATGTGAAGTCATAGAGCAGAGCTTGACATGCAGTAATACTCAACAAATGTTGGTGATTATTGTCATCATTCTCTGAGCCTTCCACCTAGACAAAGCCTGTTGGGTAAGCCAGGCCATCATCTCACACTTACCACCTATACTCCAGCCCCAACTCTCCCCAGCACATCTGTCTGCACCTTGACTTTGCAACTCACAGAGTCCTAGAGCTTGTCCACTCCGGGTCTCCGCTGGCCCCCCTTCAACCCTCTGACTCCTAGGAAGTGTACTGTTTTATGTAGCCCATTTGAGTGACTCCAGCTCCTTCTTCTAGCTGCCTTAAACCAGGAAGAAGACCCTTCTTATGCCTCCCTCCCTCCCTCTCTGTTCACTTCTTGTTCTCTGGCTGGGGCTCAGCTTCCTTGTTGTATTGGCCCCTTTGCTCCCCACCCGAGCTAACCTTCTAGAACAGAGATCTTCAAGCTCAGCAGGTATCAGTGTGTCCCAGAGACTCCCTGACTTGGGGTAGAACAAAGAGGCTGGGCTCCGGAGTTTATGGAAGAAGGGATAGAGTTGGTTTTTAACCAATAGGACTGGGACGTCCAGGTCTGCCTAATGGTGACTGGAATCTCTGGGCTTGGGTGAATTTGCCCATGAGAAGGATGCTGAGCTGGCCTGGACTCTGGGTTTTTCCCTGATGACACTAGATTTCAGGAAGACTGCAGCTTGGCCCCAAGGCTGGATGCTCACACAGAATGAGGAGTGGCCTCAGGGAGAAGTAAATCAATCAGCAACCTGACATGCTGACCTTGGCCCCAGAGAGGTCCATCCCCTGTGACCTTTCCTACACCTGACCACAGCTCACTGCTGCCCCAGGATCAACAGAGCTTCCCCAGTTGAGTCTTACCCACCAGAATTGACATGATATGAGACCTTACCTGGTTTCCCTGCATAAAATACTGAATTCAATTCAAATCCCACCTCCTTTTTTTTGCTGAAGAAGATTAGCCCTGAGCTAACATCTGTGCCAGTCTTCCTCCACTTTATATGTGGGTGGCCACCACAGCATGGCTGATGAGTGGTACAGGTCTGTTCCTGGGATCCAAACCTGGAAACCCAGGCTGCTGAAGCAGAATACACTGAACTTAACCACTATGCTACGGGGCTGGCCTCAAATTTTTCCCGTCTTATTCTTACTTTTCTCCTTCCACTTTACTCAACCCTTTTTACTGATTTTCTTGCTTCCCCAATTTTAGTTTCCAAAACACCTCATCCCACAACTAATAGGAGAAAGGGCCAGAGCTGGCCTTGTTGCACCAGAGTGTCGTCACCAAAGCCTGGCTCCTGTAGGCTTCCTCAGGCTGCTCTCTCTGAGCTCGTGTCCTCTGGACCCTTGTCCACAGCCCCCTGCTATCTCCTCCGGCCTGTTCTCTCATTTCACAACTGTCTTCCTGAGCTGTTCGTTCTCCCTCAGGTAGCCACCACCTTCCCAACTTCCCCACTGAGGTGAACGAGGATTCCCAAAGAAGAAACCACCACGTAGCTTTCAGCTCCTATGTCCTGTTCCTCACGGAACGTATGGCCGAGTGTGACCGTGATTTTCATTGTCTCTCCTCTGGAGTCTGCCACTCGCTCTCTGTCTACAATCAGATCCCCGGTGGAAATGCTGGCATCTCCCACCGGGACCGAGTCTGCTGCGTGTTTGCAGGTGACCTGATCTCACATCTCTTCCTGAGTTTTAATCCTGTGGCTTAGACTGAGCCACCTTCCTCCCGTCTTGTGGCCCTTTGGGTTGTGGCCTGTGAATGACTGCTTCTCTGCCTCAAAGTTCTTCAGTTTTGCCTCTCCCGGGTCTCCCCCCGGGAGACCACCGCCTCTTCTCATCATCCTTCCTCAGCAGGTTGGCTTGAATATCTCCTCTCCCAACAAGCACCTAGGTGGCACGACTGTTTTTTTCCTTCCTTCGTCTATCCTCATTCTTTTGCCCCGTGGTAGGCTGGTAACTTCTTCCCCATACCATCCTTTGGTATCTAGATGACTTTGGTAAGTACATGACTATTAAAATTCTCCTTCATCATGCCCCATTTGGTTGTTCATAATATAACAGGAGTACATGGAACGTGGCAACATGAGCATGCAGGTCTGCTCTAGCTTCAGCAGCACATGCTGTCTCCTCGGACCCTCAACATAAGGCAGCCCCTGTGATTGCCCATGGCAGCAGAGGCCTGGCCCTCCCATGCATGGGTGGCAGGTACGCTTCTCCATCATCAAAGTGCTTTCTCACCAACTCTGTGCCTTATTTTGCAGAGTCCAACTTAGGTCTGGAAATCAGCATCCATTGTCCATGTCACACCTTTCAGCCCAATGGAGATATCCTGGAAAACATTCACGAGGTGATGGAAATCAAATTCAAAGGTAAGAAGATGGATGTGTATGGTAGGGTAGGTAGGGGGCGTTAATGAGGCAGGAGAGAACGGGAGACCCCTACCAGACCCCAAGAAGAGGAACCAAGCTCCCTCACAGAGATAGCCATCTAGTTTGTACTTGAGTACTCTGCTTTGCCCCCAAATCGGTGAGTGTGACTTTCAGTTTATAGATATAGGGAATATATTAGCATTTGGAAGACAGAGTTATGCTGGTAAGAGCCATGAAATAATGTAGGCAAGCCTCTCTCTCTGAGCTCAGTAGTAAAATGGGTCTGGGAGTACCTTTCACAAGGTTGTCATGCAAATTACATGAGATAACAAATGTAAGACACAGGGCCACAAATGCTCAACCAACAATAGTTGTCTTCCCCGTCCCTGAAAGAAGTGGATTCTGTGGCCATGAATATGAGTCCCCTGACTTCTGAGCCTTCAGATGTTGCCCAGGCCACCTGCTCCTTGCCCAGGAGTCACTGGGGTTTGAATGATTGCTTCAGGGCTAGGATATTCGTGTTGAGATGGCAAAATAGTTGAGAGTCATTTCCGGTTTTCCAACATTTGTCTAAGGTGCTCAGCCCAGACAATCTCTGGATTTCGGGGAAGTTCTCTGTTCCTTTCCTAGTCCCATTTTGGACAATTAAGGCACACCTGAGGCCAGGTGGTTGGTCATCAAATCAACCAAGTCGAAGCCTGAGGTCAGAGTCTTGTCTGGAAAAAGGTGCAGGCCTTTCTTGGCTCCCGGCCCTGGGCAGTCTCTTATCCTTCGAGGGCTCTATTTCAGACCCTATTTTCTTTAAAAGCCAAGGATCTCACATCTTAATCACAGAACCTCAGAGCTCAGAAGACCTTCGAAGTCCTTACCTAAAGGTCAGGTTAGGACGAAATCATCCCATTTCAGTGAACAGTTAGTTTGTTCATTAAGATTTTCAGAAAAGGAGATTTGAGATCCAGGCCTCCCATTTACCTCACAGTCCTGGTGTCCCTTCCTGAGGTCCATGGCCCTCCAGTCACTATGCAAATTAAACTCCTTACGTTCCTGTCCTTGGTGGAGACAGACAACAGCTGTCTGTCTGTCTCCAAACAGATCTCCTTTTAGTTGAGACTCTTTCTAATTCAATCTTTAGTCTTTTCCTTTTCAGATGAAATAGCAAGTTTTCTTTCCAGAATTTGTTTGCTAAGCTGTTTCTCATACACTTGAGTATCTCGTCTGAGTTTTATAGTGAACAAACTTTTGAAACTATAAATGCAGTGTCAGTGTTAACAATTATTCATTCCTGTTCCTCTGGCTCCCGTTCAAACTCTCTTAAATTGTGACACTTCTGATTCTAAGTGGGACTTCTGTGCTATCTTGACCAAGTCAGAGTATAAGAGGAAACTCACACCCTGGGATTCGAAGTCTCAGAATCTAAACTGACAACCGGAGGTATGTGTTAGGTGGCCACCTAGTGACACGGATGCTTCATGGATCCCTGACGATCCCCAGGAAGCATCTCAGGAAGGGTTCTCTGTCCTCCGGAAGATGTACGCACAGGAGTCAAGAGGGGACCCCACCAGGGGCGTCCTGCGGGTTCCTTTGATACCAGTCCCTCCACCCAGTCTTCCCCTTCCTGCAGGTGGACATTAGCCTGAAGCTGCCCCGCCTCCCCCGCCTTCCTCGCAGATGGCACCACCCCTCCTCCTGAGCACTGATGGGACAGGATAGGATGAGAAAGCAGCCCGCAGGCTGCCTTCCTTAGACAGCAGATTGTCACCTTCCTTCCCTTCTGCAGGTGTGGACAGTGAAGATGATCATGGCCGTGGAGACTTGGGGCGCCTCAAGAAGCAGAAGGACCACCACAACCCTCATCTAATCCTCATGATGATTCCCCCACATCGGCTGGACAACCCGGGCCAGGGGGGTCAGAGGAAGAAGCGGGCCCTGGACACCAATTACTGCTTCCGGTGAGCCTGGGCCCACTCAGTGTCCGTGAACTCCTGAGACAACATTTACTGTGTGCCTGTCATGGGTCACACCCCAGGCCTAAGTTGTGCTCAGCTGAGCGGCCCTGATGCTTTCACAAACATCTCCAGGAATAAAGACTTAGAACTTTGCTTTTCTGGGAGCCCCACTGTTTTTCTGCAGCCCAGCTCTGTAAGGGCCTGGATGAAGTAAATGAGGAGGAGAGTGTTGCTAAAATGGTTTGGATTGGAGAGGCTTGGCTGAAACCTCTCCATGGTTTCCATGTTTTAAAGTATTTGTAGGGTATGTTGCCTGGTGGGGAGATTAATGCCGGAACTTCCATTAGAGAAGTGCTCAGGACCCTGTGAAGGGTCCAAGGATGCTACTGATGAGAGAACATAGGGCAGTCTCCATTTGCAAGGGGGAATTTGAGCTAGAGAAATTAGTGAACTAATTCAGAAATAGTTGGGTAGCCACTGTAAAGAGAGAAAAAAGACAGAGTCTCTTCTATTATTTAGCTTCTCATTTATAAGGGAGGGGCATGATAAAGCATACACAACAATTATAAAAGGTAGAAAATGACCACATCCATGAGACGGTCTGAAGGATAGAGCGCTTTAAGAATTTGGAGCAAGGAGCCCATCTGTAGATGCAGGAAAGCCTTCAGAAGGGTGTGGAATTTGAGCTGAGCCTTCGAGGATGAGTGAGGTTTGGGAATGTAGGGATACAGGAGGAGGAAGCCCTTCTGGTAAAGGAAGGTACATGAATGGGTCCATTTGCCTGGAGAGGAGGATGCCTGACCAGAGCTGGGGAGAATGAACTGGGAAATCTTTAGATCTAAAACCATGTCTTATGGGGAACAACTGAATGAACTAGAGATGCTGAGCTTGGGAACAGAATGTATAGGAGAGGCAGTACAGTTGCCTCCATCTGAAGGCTGGCACACAGACTTGTTCTATGTGGCTCTTAATCAGTTAGGAATGAATGCTCTTGGCTGCAAGTAACAGTGGCTTAAACTCCAGGAGAGTTCTTGTTTATAAGAAGCCTATAGCAGCAGGCTCAGGGCTGGTCTGGCTGTGTAATTATGCCATCGAGGACACAGGCTTTCCCTCTCTCCAGTCTGCCATGATTAGTATGGTGGCTTTTCATCTTCTTGCTTATGGTCACAGTGACTGCTAGAGCTCCAGGCATCCTGTTCATGCTCAAGACAAGAAGAACAGGGAAGTGGCAGAACCAGCAGCTTTCTTCTTCCATCTGTGACTTTTATAAAGGATCAACTATCTTTGCCAGAATTTTCCCTCACCCCCTGCATACTTCTCCTTATGTCTGATTGGTCATCGTTGGGTTACATGACCACCCCTAGCTGCAAGGGAAGCCAGGAAAACAAGCATCTGGTGTTCTAGACTGTAATGGGAGATGGTAAGGGAGAAGAGGGGTAGGAATGGCTATTGAGTAGATAACCAAGAGTGTCTGCCATGGTTCACCCTTGGAACCTACAAGAAGCCAGATTTTGGCCAGTAGCTGCCTTTGGAAGTAGCAAGTTCTAGGTCTCAGCAGATTTTGAACCACAGGCTGGATGCCCACTTGGCAAGGGGCCTGCCCAAATGGATTTCTGCAGACAACAGAATTGAAGTGGCCTGATGGTCACAGCTGGGGTGATCTAAGAATCAGGAGTCTAATAGAAGGATATGCCTCGTTTTGACTCGGCCTCTAGATTTGGTCTAAGCAGTCATCTACTGTACTATCCAAGCTGCATGAGCTTCAAGTTCATTTCCGGTTGGGTGCACATTAGGGAGGTAACAATAAAACCAACCTCAACGAAGCTGGGTTGGCTAGTAACTTTCAGTGGTTTTATGTAGAGCATGTTAAGTCTGTTTTGATTTGTGATGTAAAAGGGGCAGGGCCACTTTTGCCTTTTTTCTCTTCATGCATCATCTGTATATGCAGTTATGTCCTTGGGATCTGGTCTTCAGCACAGGAAACTGCCTGTATGGTTTATACAGCTCAGTGCACTTGAACCTGGGAGTCCATTGATTAGAGCCACTCTTAGGATGGCCAGGAAGGACTCCTCAAGTGCAAACATGAGGGCCATTTCTGAAGTCTGTTATCTTGGTGGTTTCCTTTTAGGTTGATTTTCTATAAATATTTTTTGTTTTAGCAACTTGGAGGAGAACTGCTGTGTGCGCCCTCTCTACATTGACTTTCGACAGGATCTGGGCTGGAAATGGGTCCATGAGCCTAAGGGCTACTATGCCAACTTCTGCTCAGGCCCTTGCCCGTACCTCCGCAGTGCGGACACAACCCACAGCACGGTATGGAGCAGGGCTCATGCCACACGGGGCACTGGGGCTGGCTGGCCAGGCCGCTTGTTTAAAAGATTGCTTGAAGGACTGAATGTTGCATGAGCGAATAATGACCTGGGGTGAGTAGGATCCCTTTGGTGAAGGGTCTGATCTTGGCACCCTGGCCCAACTCTACTTGATCACATTCTGCCCTTTAAAATTTCTTCCATAGTTTCAACCAGACTTTTTATTTGTTCTGTCTAAAGCTTTTGGTACCATGGGAGTTAATTAGCGGTCACAGGCTACCCTGTATGTCAGAGATGCACATGGCTAGCAAGGAAGTGGGGGCAGAAAGGCTGCCATCAGTTACAGAACTCTGGTAATTCCAGCCTCTTGGATGTACAAGAGTTATTTTGAAAGACAATGTAAAAAACACAGAAGCAGCTAATATGAAACGATGGGGAGAGACAGGGAGTGAGAGGGAAGTCCATGACTCTGAAACTAGCTTGTTCTTTCCCTCAGGGGGAATCAAAAATAGGGGGTTAATTGGTGAAGCAGGTTTCCTTATAGCTCATTATTACCACATCCTGTCTGGGCCCCCATCCTCTGGCATTTACTAAACGGCTCAAGGCAATGTTTAGTGAGTATGTTTCTCGCCAAGTGACCAGTTACAGCTAGGAAGACCAATGTAAGAGTGTTTTCTTCAGAGCAAAGAGAATTTCCTCATCAATTTAAAGTCACCCAATAACTGTTACATGCCTAAACTGATAAGGCTCAAGCAGGTGGCGGGTGTTCTACATTCTCCCTTTCTGGATGGACAGCAACTAGTCCACCCAAACTGCCCTCCACCAATCCCTCTGAAATAGCATCGATGGCCAGTTTACTACGTGCTCAGTCTCTGGAGCAGCCCCTGGAAAAAGTGTGGCTTTCCAACCTCTAAGTGATGCTTCCCTCCCCAGGTGCTGGGACTGTACAACACCCTGAATCCCGAAGCATCTGCCTCACCTTGCTGTGTGCCCCAGGACTTGGAGCCCCTGACCATCCTGTACTATGTCGGGAGGACCCCCAAGGTGGAACAGCTCTCTAACATGGTGGTGAAGTCCTGTAAGTGTAGCTGAGGCCCCGCCTGTGACGTTGAGAGAGGAGAGAGAAGTGCCACTGCCTGCCTGCCTGCTCCTCGGGAAACACAAAAGCAACAGACCTCACCTAGAGGCCTGGAGCCACAACCTTCAGCTCCAGGCACATGGCTGAGATGGAGGTTCCGGAACCTCCTGGAACATTTCTCTTTCTTGCTGGCTCTGAGAATCACTGTGGTAAAGAAAGTGTGGGTTTGGTTAGGGGAAGGCCGAACTCTTTAGAACACACAGATCTTCTGTGACATAGACAGAGGTGGTGGGGACAGAGGAAGAGGGATGACAAGTCGACACGTCGTGCAGCAGTGGGATTTGGGATATCCTAGGGAGGACGAAGGGCAGAGAATGGCCAGGACAGGGCCAGACTGGAAGACACTGCTGAGCTGAGGTCAGCTTTGCTCATCGCTGCCCCTCATCTGCTCTAGGGAATCTGGACTACGTTATACAAGGCAAGCATTTTTCTTCAGACAGGTTACCAAGACAAAGTCCCAGAATTGTATCTCACACTCCCTGGGATTCAGGACAAATCTGTTCTTTTTGCAAATTTTCCCCTTGACATCAATCAGCATCAAGGGTCATTACAGGGAGAAAATCCAGGTAATGTAGTTCCAGGGCCGTCACCTATACTGGGCCCTGTGGATATGCTGAACTCAGAAGCAGAAGGTGGGAATTAACCCTCTCCTGTCTGCCCTCTGGGGGCCTCCTCTCGCCTTCTTCCTCCCCTTGGACATCTGGCTAGACACCTTCCAGGTCAGGGTGCACGTGTCTGGATCTTGGGTCTGTGCAGCCTTGGGGCCATGTGGGTTCTGCCCTCGCTCCCCAAGACCCTGTGCTCATCTAGTGTTCCTGGAAGCAGGTGCTAAACATGTGAGGCACGCGGGGAAGTCGACATGTGCCACACAATGACTTGGCCCCAGATGCATAGACTGAGGTATAAAGACAAATACAGATATTACTCTCAAAATCTTTGTATAAATAAATATTTTTGGGGAATCTTGGATCATTTCATCTTCTGGAAGATTGTTTCTAGAACAGTAAAAGCCTTATTCTAAGGTGTAAGTCTGACTGGATAAATACCCTTAATTACTCTTTTCATAACTCCACGTCGACATCTACCAACCAGAGGTAACTGGAACCTGGGGTGGAGAATCTCGAACATCGAATACATTGCTTAGTGTGAACACCTGGGACAGTGCACACTGCGCTGCCTTCTGCCAGCTTAGAAGGCTGCACTGGTGTTTGTATTCCCTTCCTTTCTCAGAGTATATTATTCTCAGACACACAGAGGCAGTGGCTCAGATTTGTAGAAAGTATACGAATTTAACTGTGGGCAGGGTCACGGTGTGAACTCTTGCATATGGAAATGTGTTGGTGTGTACATTCACTATAAATTACCAACATCATTATTTTTGAAAATCTCATCTCATCCTCCAAATCAGTTGAGAATTAGAGAAACTGTCTGCGGAAAATGGCCTGGGAATATAAGGCTGATACTGTTATCAAGTTGAGCCTAAAAGTGCTCGCCAGGGACCCCTTTTCAGACAGTGGGCCTCTTGTCAGGAATTCGGCAATGTGAGAGAACAAGAAAAGGACAATCCTGTAGTTCTCTTTTGAGGTCATAGATCCCAGAGCAATACAGAATTCTATTGTGGTATCAACGTCCACCTGAAGCAACTGTCTGCAATGAGTGAGGAACCATCTAGAAGCTCCTGAAAAGCATGTTCCTTGGGGCCAGCCCGGTGGTGCAGCGGTTAAGTTCACACATTCCGCTTCATGGCCCAGGGTTCACAGGTTCGGATCCCGGGCGTGGACCTACGCACCGCTTATCAAGCGGTAGCGTTCCACATATAAAATAGAGGAAGATGGGCACGGATGTTAGCTCAGGGCCAATCTTCCTCTAAAAACAAACAAACAAATATGTTCCTCTACTGAAATCACTTTGCCCCTGGTAAAAAAAGTCTATTTGAAGCTAAAATCTTCAGGGTGAAGGATGTGTACAATATGTTCGTCCCTCTGTGTATGTGTGTGTAGGCATGTGTGTACCTTGCTCCTTCTGGAGTTCTCCCACACTGAATTCCTGAGTTTGGTTACCAAGCCAAACTCAAAGGGCTTCTCTCTGGCTTTAGCCCATGTGGCACCCATTTACTTCCAGTGCACTTCAGGGGCTATGTCCCCGCCCTAAACGCAGGCTGGGCAGTTGGGTTCCATCTTATCCCAGGGAGGCAGAGGCATTCGAGAGGGGATGCAGCAGGCCTAGCTCCTCGCCCGTGGCCACTGCTACCCAAATTTCAGAGTCTATCCATTTAGAGAAGTCATTCTCAAATTTCAGGGCCATGAGATTCATCCAAGTGTTTACTGAAAATGTGTAATTTCAGGCTGCAGCTCTAGAGACGTCTTTAGGACTGGGGGTAGTGTCCAGCCTGCCTAAAAACTACATTTTGGGAAGCAGTGCATTTATACCTGACATCATTGGTCCTTACTCGAGGCTTAAATAAGGAAGAGGGAAATAATCTTTCCAGCCCTAGAATAAACTTTCCTTTTTATCCAACCTCATATGACATCACTAAAATGTTGGCCATCCTAATGAACCAAGGCAACGAGAAGTGTTTCCTGAAGTATCTCAAAGAAAACAGAACACGCTGTGATTCCAAACCTTCTTTTTATGTTAGAGCTCTATTCTTATCTTAATCAGCAGATATAAATACGGGAGGGGTCTGCAGTCCAGCCTCCCCATTCCACATGTCATTTACAGGCACTACAGAAACTTGAACCATTCTGTCCGTCTTCAAAAATACACGCTTGTTTTGGGGAAAGGTAAGGAGGGACACTGCTGTTGAAAGGAGGATCGTATGATCTGTCTGGTTTATTACCAAGAGAAGTCCAGTGCCAGTAAAAATGACTTGAAAGTACTTGAGTCATGAAGGGGGAGATCTGGAGTCCGGTCTTGTGCCTGATCAGCACATGGTGAGCACACTAAGCAATTAGCTTGAGGACTCAATTTTGATGGTTACCTAGGGCCATTCCAAGCACTCTAGCTGGTCTAAAAGTCCTTTGATAGGGCTCATAGCTTCTTATCCTTTTTCACAAGATCCATATGTTGAGTCTCCCTAAACATCTTATTTCCCAAGTCTACACATCAGCAGGGGACTATGAAGGAATTCGAATTTGCCTCCTAACCAATTCACAACCAAGTTAGCAAACGGTTAAGATGGTCCTCACACTCTACCCAGAAGCCCCATTAGGATGGGACGCATCCTCTCTTCTCTCCTGCAATCGACAGACTTCATCCTTCACAAGCAAACAAAACACTTCAATGTGCTCAAACCTGTGTTCATTCGCTAAGAAGGCAATAAAGTCCCTTTTCTCTCTGCCTTTTTGGGTGTCATTTTTCTTTTGAGGTTTCACTGCTGAGTCTTTAGCATCCTGTAGAAACCCCAGACTCTGGATTCTCACCCTGTAACTCCCTAGGGCAGCTAAGTCAATTCTTCAGTGGGCTCTGCAGCCACCTTTCAACCTTTTCTCCAGCAGAAGCTGGAGAGGAGCTGGGACAGACGAGGAAGCCAGAGCAGAGTTTTAGTGGAAAGCAGTCAGGGGCCGTGCCGCATCACTCTGATGAGCTGTTTAGGTAAACAAGGTGCAACTGGATACACATTCACGTGCCACCGGAGGACCTGTCTGTTGTGGTCTGATAACGGAGACATTTGCACACAGCAGCTTCCCAGGGGCGGGAGCCACCCGTGGGGAACAGCCTGGACCCACCATCTGCTGAAACTGAATGTAAGAATAAAATATCTCTTTCTAGCTCACATTTCTAAAATGAAGTTTAAAAAATTGCTCAGCAATGAAATAAAAGGAGAAGTTGGTCCCATTTCAGTCTTGTTTGCGAATACTGATTGTTGGGAAATTAGTAAATGGAAAGAAGAAAATAAAAATAGAATTACTTTATTAATTTTAGAAATCAGTAATTCCAAAGGGTGTCTTTACCGTGGCTCATGTGGGCAGCAGCACATTTTCTCCACTCTCCGGGAAACTCGTGATGTGAGCTCCCCTTCCCCCCAAACCCTGAAAGTGGAAGAACAACTCTGGTAGATAACGTTGGGATTTTAGGTTTGTAGGAAGCAAAGCTTAATACTGCAATCTGGAAAAGAAGAGGAAGCAAAATGCAAATAGCCAAAGAGCCTCTTTTATATCATCTCTGTGTGGTAGCAGGAGAGGGACAGAGAAGACCTAAGCAGGTTGGGGGCGGGGGTAAAAAGGGTAAAAGATACACGTGTGCTCTGACGGGGTATATAATGCATCAGTTGAATGTCCCCACTGCCAAGATCCATCACAACCCAGCTGTGTTTTCCTGTCGTCTCAGTAAAAGTCTGGATTGGCTACTGGCAACAGCGTACTGCCACTTCTGCTCGAAGGCTCTGGGGACTGAGGCAGCAAAAAAATACCACGGCCCCCCTGCAGCGCTGGTGGACACTCCCCCCGCGGTCACACACCCAGGAGGAGCAGGAGCAGTGCACAGGTTCTTCCTCCGAGCTCGTGGCTCATCTTTTAGTGTGAGCAGGATCTGGAAAAGAGGAAAACAACTAAGTGACCGAAATGAGAGTGTGGGGGCTTACCTACTGCCAGCAACGTCTGCTTTAGTTAGCATTACTGAAGAATAAAGAAGTGGCCCAAATAAACGTAGTTCACCTTGCACAGAAAACTTTCAATTTTAGCCACTTTTGTTTGAAACCTTTCTGGAACACTCCTGTTCTGCTGCTGCTGCTTTTTTTGTGTAGTTCTCTTAGCTTTTTTTTCCTGGATGAGAACATTTTATCCCTTTTGCTTCTTAAATAGAAGATGCTAAAGATGTTAACCTTTTCTAGAAACTCAGGGTCAGCATTGTTAGCATTCAATATTGAACTGCATGGAGAAACTGCTCCATGTACACTTCTTAGTTTTTCTAAATCTTCTCTCAATGTTGGGTTGCCAGATAACACTCTGCCTTGTATCCCTGCCCCCATCCCCCCAGTGTACACCTACACCCACCACCCAGTGTAAGAAAAGGAACACTATTACTGTTACCCGGAATCCCCCATTAGATGCTCCCAAATCCTTCCCATTCCCACTATCCCGAATTTTGTGTCTATCCTTCCCTTGTTTGCTTTTCAAACTGGTTTATTTTCTGCATATATTTATATCCCTAAACATTGTATTGTTTGGTTTTATTTGGTTTTGAATTTTATTGTGCTGCTCTGACTATTCTGATATATGTCTTAGCACACAACTGCAAGAATTTCTCTAGGTATATACTCAGGAGTGGAACTGCTGTGTCATAAATTCTTGCATCTTCAACTCTAAAAATAAGGCCATATTAGTTTCCAAAGCCGTTATACCAACTCACCCCCGCCCCTCTGGCAATGGATGAGCTTCCCCCACTTCTCCATCTCTTCTAACGTGGAGGAATGGTATTGCCTGAGTTTAAAATTTTTTCGAAGAAAGTGAGTATACAATTGTATACTACTGTGCTTTTAATTAACATTTCCCTCATTAGGAATGAGGTTGTGCATCTTTTCAAGTATGTACTGCGCACAGATGTTTTTTCTTCTGTGAAATGTGTAGATGTGCCTTTTGTTTTTTTTCCTGGGTTGTCTATTGATCTTTTTAAAAACAGCTTTATTAGACATAATTCATATACCATACAATTCACCCATTTAACATGTACAATTCAGTGGCTTTTAGTCTAAGCAGAGTTGTGCATCCATCACCACAATCAATTCTATAACACTTTCATTGAAAGAAAGTGAAATCCCATACCTGTTAGTCATCACCCCACACATCTCATCCCCCAGCCCTAGGCAACCACTAATCTACTTTCTGTCTCTACAGATTTACCTATTCTGGACATTTCATATAAGTGGAATCAGACAATATGGTCCTTTATGTCTGATTTCTTTCACTTGGCATAATGTTTTCAAGGGTTATCACGTTGTAGCCTGTATCCGCACTCTTCCTTTTTATGGTTTAAATAGTATTTCACTGTGGCTATATGACGTTTTATTTATTCACTCATCCGTTGATGGGCATTTGGATTGTTTCCACCTTTTTGCTATTATTAATAATGCTGCTATGAACATTCATGTGCAAGTCCTTGTTCAGACATATGTTCTCATTTCTTTTGAGTAGATACATGTGTTATTGCTGGTTCATGTGGTAACTCTACGTTTAACTGTTTGAGGAACTGCCAGACTGTTTTCCAAAGCAGTGGCACCATTTTACAATCCCACTGGCAGTGCACAAAGGTTCTAATTCCTCCATATCCTCGCCAACACTTGTTATGGTCTGTCTTTTTGATTACAGCTGTCCTGGTGGGTGTGAAGTGGTATTCCACTGTGGTCTTGGTTTGAATTTCCCCAATGGCTAATGATATTGAGAATCTTTTCACATGCTTATTGGCATTCTATACCTTCTCTGGAGAGATGTCTGTTCGGATCCTTTGCCCGTTTTAAAAGTTGAGCTGTCTTTTTTATTGCTGAGTTGTAAGACTTCTCTATATATTCTCCAAACAAGTCTCTTACTACATACATGATTTGCAAATATTTTCTCTTGTTCGGTGGATTGTTATTTCATTTTCTTGATAGTATCCTTTGAAGCACAAAATTTAAGCACTTTGATCATGTCTAGTTTGTCTATTTTTTCTTTTGTTGCTTACACTTTTGATGTCATATCTAAGAAACTGCTTATTGATTTTTAGAAGGGCTTTGCTTAGTATCTGGATACTAATTTTTTGGTTCTATGTATTACAAACACCTTCACCTAATTTGTGACTTGTCTCTTCATTCTCATTATGGTATTTATTTTTAGAGGTTGTTTCAAGATTTATTAAGTTCTAAGAAAAATGCTACTCAGAGATAAAAATTAGATCACATTTCGATACACACTTAATAAGTGACCTTTTCAGAAAATGACTTTTTAAAAATGTTAAGACTTCCAGAAAATCCAGGACAATCACCATAAAAATAGATAGTTTCTTTAAAAAAAAGTCTTTAAATAAAAAATTTTAAACATACACAAAAAATAGAATACTACAAGATCCCTCCATGTTCCCATCATTTAGCTTCAAGAATTATCAACATTCTACCATTCTAGTTTCATATCTCTCCCCATGTTTTTTCCTGGAGTATTTCAAAGCAAATCCAAGAAAACATATCATTTCACTCATAAATACTGGAGAATGTATCTCTAATGGATAAGGACTTAAGGGGGGGAAATCCAACAAAAATCCCACCATATGTTTATGATGTCTTAGCAAAGAAGTTCTTAATTTGAATAAAGTCAAATTTATCAATTTTACATCTTCAATTCTGGGGTCTAGTTTAAGGAGTCCTTCCCTTACAGTGAGATCGTAAGGATATTGTTCTATAACGTCTTGGGAAAGGTGTACACTTTCACCTTTCAAATTTAACTCTTTAATCCAACCTAAAATTGTGTGCAGTGTAAAACACTGATCTAATTCCATTTTTCCCGCACAATAACTAATTGTCCTAGCATTAGTTATTGACAAGCCCATCTTTTCCTCCTTTAATTGCAATGTCCCTCTGTCATAAACTGTTTTTATATAGGAGATTGGTTTTAGGTTTCTCTACTTTGTGCCAACACCACGCTCTCTTAATTACTTTAGCTTGATAATAATATTGATAATCATTCTCAGTATCTGGTAAGACAAGTCACACAAGGTTCCCACTCTCATTCCTATTCTTTAGGGGATGAGGGTTATTCTTGGCCATTTGCTCTTCCTTGTAAATTTTAGAGTCAGCTTGTCAAATTAAAAAAATACATAAACAACTTATACTCTCTCAAATCTATAGATCAATTTTGGGGAGAACTGACATCTTTACCAAACTGACTTTTAATCTATGAACCTATCTCTCCACTAATTTTTTTGAAGTGATTCTCAATAAGGTTTAATAATGTTTTTAATAATAGCTCTCACGTATCTTTTGTTAGACTTTTCCCTGGGTATGTTATACGTTTTGGTGATTCTACCTTTGATACAAAGGATATCTTTTCTATAATCGTATTTCACACCTGTTCATTGCTGATGTATACAAATGTAACTGATTTTGGAGAACTCTCTTATAAAGCTAATACTTTGTCTGAACATTCTTTTTGGGTTTCCAATCAGACAAATACATTATCTGAGAACAATGACAGATTTGCCTCTTCCTTTCTGATTCCTGTGTCATTTCCTTCCGTCTTTTACTTCACAACTAGGACTTCCAGTGCAACACTCAATACAAGGGATGGCTCACTTGTCTTGCTCCTCACCTTAAACGGAATGCTTTCAAAGTTTCCCAATCCGTAGCATCATGGGACCCTTGGATTTCTGTAGAGATGCTTTATTGTTAGGTTCCCTTCTATTCTTAGCTAGGAATTTTTTTAAGTCATGAGGATAGTGAATTTTATCAAATGCTTATTATGCATTCATTCAGAGGAGCATATGATATTTTTCCCCTTTAATCTGTTACTGCAGTAAAAAGGAAGAATAAAATCTTAAAAAAAAAAGATGATCTTGTAATTTGAACTTTTTTGGGGGACTGTCCTTGTCAGGATTTGATATTGAGATAATGATAGAGTTGGGAAGCGCTCTCTCTTTTCCTGTACTCTAGAATAGTTTGTAGACCATTGGGATATCTGTTCCTTGGATGTTGGCAGGATTCACCAGTAAAACCATCAAATCCTGTGCTTTATTTGTCAGAAGATTTTTGTTCTTGATTCAGTTTCCTTAATAATTTAAAGGAATATGTGGGTTTTATATTTCTTCTTGAATAAATTTTTTTAAGTTAAATACTAAAATTGTATCCATCTCACCCAAGTTTTAAAAATGTATCATCAAGTTATTCATAATATCTTCCTACCACCTGTTTAATCTGAGGCATGTATAATAATGTCCCTATTTGTTCCTCTCAACTGTAGGTTTATCTTCTATTTTATCAATTTCCTTTATCTTTATTATTATTATTTTTCTTTACTTTTTACTTTTATTGGATTTATTTTGTTGTTCTTTTTTTAACTTCTTAAGCCAGGTACTTAGCACATTAACTTTCAGCTTCTCCCCTTTCCCTACTGTAAGTTTAAACTTTCCTTTAATATTGCTTTAGCTAAATTCCTCAAGTTTTTGATAAAAGCATTTTCTAATTATATTGTGATTTTATTGATGAGTTCCTTCTTAATTATATTTTTTACAGTTTATATTTTTTACAATTTACATTTTTATAGTTATCTCTTTTTAAAATTTATATAATTTTTTAAAATTTATATTTTCATAATTTATATTTTTTATAGTTACCTTTTTGTTATTGCACTGTGATCTGGGAATATGGTCTTTGAAATGTGATTTAAGGTCTGGTACCTAGTTTCTGCAAATACTCTGTACACTTACAAAGAATGTGTATTATGCATTTATTTAGTGTGAGGCTCTATACACGTCTATTAGATCAAGCCTGTTAACTGTGTGGTTCAAATTTCCTAAAACATAACTGATTTCAGACTGCTTGATCTACCAATTACTGAGTTACATTAAAA